GAAATTAAGCATACACGGACTGAAATAACGAATATTATACAGACTCCCGACAGCAGACCAGAGGAGTGCAAGAATCAAGTCAATGATTTGAAATGCGAGGAAGCAAAAAACACCCAACCGGAAAAGCAAAATGAAAAAAGAATCCAAAAATGCGAGCATAGTGTAAGGAGCCTCTGGGACAGCTTCAAGCGTACCAACATCAGAATTATAGGGGTGCCAGAAGATGAGAGAGAGCAAGATATTGAAAACCTATTTGAAGAAATAATGACAGAAAACTTCCCCCACCTGGTGAAAGAAATGGACTTACAGGTCCAAGAAGCGCGGAGAACCCCAAACAAAAGGAATCCAAAGAGGACCACACCAAGACACATCATAATTAAAATGCCAAGAGCAAAAGATAAAGAGAGAATCTTAAAAACAGCAAGAGAAAGAAACTCAGTTACCTACAAGGGAATACCCATACGACTGTCAGCTGATTTCTCAACAGAAACTTTGCAGGCCAGAAGGGAGTGGCAAGAAATATTCAAAGTGATGAATACCAAGAACCTACAACCAAGATTACTTTATCCAGCAAAGCTATCATTCAGAATTGAAGGTCAGATAAAGAGCTTCACAGATAAGGAAAAGCTAAAGGAGTTCATCACCACCAAACCAGGATTATATGAAATGCTGAAAGGTATCCTTTAAGAAGAGGAAGAGGAAGAAAAAGGTAAAGATACAAATTATGAACAACAAATATGCATCTATCAACAAGTGAATCTAAGAATCAAGTGAATAAATAATCTGATGAACAGAATGAACTGTTGATTATAATAGAATCAGGGACATAGAAAGGGAATGGACTGACTATTCCTGGGGGGGAAAGGGGTGTGGGAGATGCGGGAAGAGACTGGACAAAAATCGTGCACCTATGGATGAGGACAGTGGGTGGGGAGTGAGGGCGGAGGGTGGGGCGGGAACTGGGAGGAGGGGAGTTATGGGGGGAAAAAAAAGAGGAACAAATGTAATAATCTGAACAATAAAGATTTAATTAAAAAAAAAAAAAAGACTTATTGGCATCTGAATGGTATTTGAAGTCACGAGGTGTGATTGTCAAGTATGGTGTGGAGACAGCCTGGAGTAGAGCCCGCGATGGAAGCTGCGCTGCCCAGGTAGATCGCCTTCAGGACTGAAAGTCTTGTCCCTCTGCTGTTAGCTGGCACTGAGCTGTGACCCCTGTCCGGGTATTGCCCTTGGCTGAGGACAGCCACCTTGCCCAAGTCTTAACCTGCTGGGGAAGGGCACCCAGTCGGGGTTAAGGATGAGTACAAAGGGCCAGCCTAGCTGCAGAGGACCCGGGAGACGGCTGAGGGCTTTGCTGGGACTATGTTGCCGTTCAGGTTCTCTGCCTGACCAAGTCTGCTTCCTCTCCTTCCCACTTCATCCTGAGCGCTCTCCCTAGTAAACGCCTGCGTTCCAAGCTCTCAGCTTTGGCTTTTGGGGAACCTGTTCTGCAACCCAAACTTTCCACTCAATGGTGACTTATTTTACAACACAGACTGGACAGCTTTTGTTGAAGAGACAGCTGAATGGATCATGTAACAGGAAGAGAGCCTCGGGATGCCTTTTAAAGACAAAGTTCTAGACAAAATACAAAAACTCTCATCAAATTATTTCTTCCCCAGTGCATCCCCAGGCTTCCGTGGGAAGAGCTCTTTGTAAGTCATCCTGCTTGTGTGAGCTGATGTCAGTTTCACCCACAGGGCCTGCCTCCCTCACTTCGAGGCCCCGTCCTCAGCCCTTCCAGCTACTCAGAGGAGAAGTTGGGACTAGCCTTTCTGCCATGGCCTCTCTGCCTCGCCATTGTCCTTCCCCCTTTAAGCCCGAAGTCCGCAATGACCCATTTCCTTTTTAAGTGGTAAGAGAACCTCATGCTTTTCATCGCTCTCTGACTGCTGCTATTTGAAATTTAAATATAGAGCTCCTAGCAAGAGCCTGAGCATAGCTTCCCTTTCTGCTTGCCTCTGGGAGAGTCTGAGAACAGATTTCTAAAAGGCTTATATTTCTACCACACCATTAAATTTGGGATAACATTCTTAAACTGACAGCGTGATTTATAATGAGGCATTTAAAGTGCTTTTATCACCTCTTTCATTGGAGATATATCTATACATGGAGACAAAGCAAAACTCTTAGTGCTGAGACGTGATGGCACTGATCACAGAAGACCCGGCTCACTGACATGTATGTATGTAAAGTAATTATTTTCACACACAGCCTCCTCCTCTGAGTCCTTTGGAAAAAGACTCGCATTTGTTCACTTTCCTCCCACTTCCAGTTCTGACAGGCGTGTCTCAGGGAATGGGAATAAAATGTGAAAAAGTAAAGACAGGCTTAGCCTCTGATGGGCATGGGGAAAAGGAGAAGCAGGACAAGGACACGAATGTGATAATTATCTCTTTTCCATGGGAGGAGATCAAAAGAATTTGTTTTATTCTTCAGGCTGAGAGGTGGCTGTCGGTTCAGGGATGTTTTTTGACATTAAAAAGTCACCAGCCCAGCTGGCGTGGCTCCGTGGATGGAGCGTCGGCCTACGGACTGAAGGGTCACAGGTTCAATTCCGGTCAGGAGCACGTGCCCGGGTTGTGGGCTCCATCCCCAGTGGGGGGCGTGCAGGAGGCAGCGGATCAATGATGCCCTCTCATCATTGATGTTTCTCTCTCTCTCCCCCTCTCCCTCTCTGAAATCAATAAACATATATTTTTTTAAAAAATCACCAAAGGGGGAAAAAACAACACCCCACGTATGTGTCCCAAGTAGCTAGGGGGGAAAGTGTATGTAGAAAACAATGAAGGAAATCACAAGAAATAATAAAAATAATACAAAATGTAAGACAATTGTCTTATTGTCAGACTTAATTATAAGTATTTAAATTCCCATGTTAAAAAGGTTCCTTCAAATGACCTAGTCAAGAAATAAAGTGCGATTTTAAAAGGCTGGGAAGAACAAATAGGATCTGCAGAAGGAAGGGTTCGCAACTGTATTTTAGATAGAGAGGAACTCAAATCACAAAACACTAAATGGACAAATAGATTCTTTTACGTTCATTAAAGCAAAGCTCACAAAAAGATGCAAACTTGTGAGGCTAATATACCAAATAACATAGTTTTAATACAAGGAGAAATGTCACAACAGTAATGGCACATAACAACACCCCTTTCTAATTCCTTGACAGGTCAAGCAAGTAAAAACAAAATCAATGAGTGTACAGAAGATTTAAATAACTAACAAACTTGATTTTTTAATAGTTATGTATAAAAAACTATATTTATATAGAATATAATTTCTTTCCTTATGTTCAGAGAATTTTCACAGAAATAATTCATATCTTAGACCTCAAAGAAAATGCCATACACCCCCCAAAGCAGAGAATATACAGAAAACACTCTTGGACCACATGCAATAAAACTAGAAACGAGTCTTAAAAGAGAGAAACTAGCAATGAGAAAAATAACATTTAGAAATTAAAATGAAAAACAAACATTTTACTGAATGACTGGAGTCAGAGAAGCAGATCTTTAGTTATAAAATAACTGAGGAACTGTAATGAAAAAGCAAGTATTTCAGAAGTAAATTAAAATAAGAGCATTAATTTCTTTCATTACCAGACAGGGACAAGGCAAATCAATAAACTAGATATTTGTCTCAGGAAGTTCAAAAGAGAAAAATGAGATAAACTCCAGGAAATGAGGGAGAAGAAAATAATTTTTTTAAGTATAAATTGGTAAATTAGAAAACTTAAAAATGATTGCTGTAAGAGATGATTCTTTAAAATGCTTATCTAATAATTGAGTAAGAGTAGATATTTGTTTTACACTTAGAGATGTTGTTCTAAGCACTTTGCCTGTATTAACTCATGTAATCTTTATAACAACCCAATAGTACCCTCAATTTACAATGTGGAAATTGGGTCACAGAGAGGTTAAAAAACTACCCAAGGTCACAAATCTAGCAAGTGGCAGAAGGGGGAATCCCAGACAGTCTGGCTCCAAAGACTGTATCTTTAAGTCCCACACTACACTCAAAATTATTCAGGAAACTGGTTACAAATTCATAGAAACAATAAATAGCAATTAAAATTTTCAAGTGAAAACAATGCATCTAATTTTATGCTAAAAACACAGATTTAAAAAAATTCTTTGTAAGTAACTGATGGTGAAAGCCTCCTAGGATTATCAGATGAGGCTCAGAAGAACAAGTGTGTCTGTTTCATCCAGTCTGGGCCATGCACTTCCTTTAAGGGCGTATTATTAGGTCAAGAGTAAAGCCCGTGAACTTTGAACTGTGGGCACGGTGTTGTGGTGACAGGTATCTGTTGTTGGGACTACTCGGCACTCCTGTCCACTTTGGGAAATGCTCCCTTGCTTTCTTCCAAGAAATGCCTTTGTCCACTTCTGCGTGTGGCCTGGGATCAGGGCTCAAATCCCAGTTCCCGGTGTTTTGTGACCTTATGTGACCCGTGTGCTCAGGGCGCATTGTGAGGACAGCAGTTTATGTTGCGCACTGCTTTCCCCGAGCTAAATGCTTTTCCCACGTTGTCGCCTTCACACCTCCCACCAGCCCCTCCTGCAGGCACTACATTGTGCAAATGAGGGACGTGGTCCCAAAGAGCCTGGAGCGCTGCCCACCCTCTGCATGGGAGGTGATAAATACCCCCCCCCCCTTCCCGCAGGCAGGGCGAGCAGGGCAGGGCCTGAGCCCCTGTGCCTCACAGCATGGTTCTGGGAGATCTTCAGCGGCCGTGCTTTTCCCAATAAATGTGCTTTTCCAGTTTTCCTACAGGCGCGGGGATGGCCTATTACGGGGTGTATTACATTTTATGTGCGTGTGTGACCAGAATCCCTGCCACTTTCTCGAAACCATTTTGTCCCGCGCTGGTTGTGGCCATGCATGAGAAACAGCAGGTGGTGCCAGATGACAGATGGTGTGGGAGCCCGGTCCCCGGTGGGAGGGGGCGAGCGAGCGAGCGCGCAGGCAGGCGGCTGCCAGCAGCTCATCCCCTCGCTCCTGGCGGCGCCTGCTCGCAGAAGCTCCCGGATCCAGACACGCGCAAGGCGCTGTCCTTTCAGCACCACGAGCCCGGCCGAGGAGGGAGGACTCTTGGCCGTGCTCCTGCTCTCCAAATTGGCTTGAATCTGCTCGGACCCCCAAGAGTGCAGCACAGTAAGTAGGCATTTGTTTTTGCTCTAACCACTCCCCAACACCCTCCACCCCTCCGCCATCCCTTCACCCCCGCAACAACCCTATTTTGTCTCATGGTGTTCCACCGGCGGGATTGACAGGAGACGTTCAGTTGTGCTGGGCTTCTGGGGGTGGGGTGGGAGCCGGAGAGGAATACATGCGATGTGTTGATCTCGTTGGCAATCTTGCAATACCGGGCTTGCTAACTTTCCGTGGGAGCAAAAAATAAAATAAAAAATGGCCCTTTGCTATTGAGGAAATGGAGGCGTTCGTGGCTGAATAACAGGGTCAGGTTCAAACCGGTTCCTTTTTTGTTTTGTTTTAGGGACTTGTATCTTCTGTACAAGATACACGTTACATAAAAGGGCCCACTCCCCACAGAGACAGTGAAGATATGTGTTGTGCTGCAGGGAGATTGCTGAAGAAAAGCCAGTAGAATAAAAAGCAGCCAGGGCATAGGGAGAAATTTGCCATGCTGCAGGGTGGCCCGGAATAACAGGATTTAATTGTGCACTGTAAGCTTCTCCCTAGATCCGACGCCTGCCTTCGCTCTGGCGTCTGGGATACACTCTTAAGCTTGTATATGTTTTGTGTGTGTGCACCTGGGATGTTCGCAAATTTGAGGGCTGTCGAGCCCTGGGGGCAGATGGCGTATTTTGATGATTAAAGAAGTTGTCCTGGGAATTGTGTAAGGAAATCTAGCGGGAGATCAATGCCTGCTCTCTCCATTGAAAGCCGCCCGGTGGGCTGCTGAGAACAGCGCTATTCCTCTCCCTGCCTCGCCGCCCACCGTAACCAGAATCCCACTGCTCGCCTAGGTCCGGGAAGAAAGGCACAAGGATGGTGAAGCTGAACGGGACCCCGGGCGAGAAGGGCGCCAAGCCGCCCTCGGTGGAGGATGGCTTCCAGACCGTCCCTCTCATCACCCCCCTGGAGGTGAATCACCTGCAGCTGCCCGCTCCCGAAAAGGTAGGGCCGTCCCTTCTCTGCCAGCCCCTCCTCCCGGCTCAGGAAATAAAGCGGCAAAACATCCCACCCAGACCCTTTCCTTCTGCGTCAGCCAAACACGGCCCCTTTCTTGTCCAATATAGTCATTCCTCCCAAAGGCATGACGTCACCTGTGTGCTTTCAGATCTGTGGTGAGTGTGCCTTCATTTGTTTGGTTCACATGTCTTCCTTTTTAAGGGTTGATCCTGGCAGATGAACACTGATAATCAGCTTCTAAAAGGTGGCCGAGATTATTTTGGGGAGATGTTTCAGAAATTGACTGCTGCAGATTTGGGGACAGAGAATCGGATGTGGTCCAACCAGCATTTAGTTAGCACATGTGAAGGGCCTGTCCCTGTGCTGGGAACTGGTTTATGGAAAGACAGGCTACAAAATCCCTACCAATGTGTGCAGCACGGTAAAGGCTCTTGCCAAGCAGTGCAGACGGTGGGAGCCCAGGTGGAGACAACGCAATCCTGGGGGGGAGGGGGAGGAGGGGGGGGCAGGTGAGGTAAGCTGCAGAGGACATTTGAATTTGGCTTTTAAAGGTGAGTACAAACCTTCCAGGTAGCCCATGGGAGGGAAGGGCATTTAAGGCGAGGGGCACGCATGTGCAGAGCAGGGAGGGCTCTGGGAAGCAGCACGCCTGCTGCAGAGTCTTCGGGGGAGGCGTGGCTGGAAATGAGTGCTTGTGAGGGCACATCTCCTGACATGGGCGCAGTCCATGAGGGATGGAGGTGGGCATTTATACACAGGTGTGTGTGTGTGTGTGTGTGTGTGGCATGAGGGGGGAGGTATACCATGGGCACAGGTGGGAGAAACATTACTGTTTAAGAACCATCCAGGAGCACCTGGGGTTTTATCGGGAGAGCTTTTGCACACTGGACGAGATGGATTTGGAGGCAAATGATGGAGTTCCCTGGCTGAAGAGTGAACAATGGATCATTCCGTCTGTTTGATTGCCTCGTTGGCGTCTCCGGGAGGCATTGTGTGTCTTAACCAATTGGCTCTCTCCAGTGAACAGAGGAGCAGAGCTCCATGCAGGCCTGGCCCGTGGCGGGGGTTGAGTCATCCGTTTTGAAAGTGACAATGTGCGTGGGGGTGTCAGAGCCGAACTGAGAAAGGGACACAGCCTTTACAAATGGAATTCACCGGACGTGGAGTGGGGACAGTGTTGACTGGGCGCCTGGCACAGGGATAGCAGAGGCGCCCAGTGTTTGGCTGCAGAGTAGGATCACCTGGGAGCTTTGGCGCATCCTGAAATCTAGGCCACGCCCCGGACAATGGACTGAGAAGCTCTGGGGTTAGACCCGGGCATCAGAGTTCATTCCATCTTCCCAGGTGACCCTGTGTGCAGCCAAAGTTGAGCACCACTGATCTGGAGGCACACTCCCCCGGGGAGTCAGGGTTACGCACTCACATGTATGGGTAAGAAGGTGAGGATCAGGGAAGTCTGGTTAGTTACCAGCTCAGAGAAGGAGTATGGCGATGCTGGACTTTGAGCCCAGGAATAATTACAGTTGGAGAAAAGGGGCGATGTTCTCCTGAGGTTTTGTGAGGCTTCAGGAAAAACCTTTACCCTGCAGCCCACAGCCACAGCCTCAGATCTGCAAGGAGAAGGGACTGTGGTGTGGCCACCCCCCTCCCCCCCGACACACACCTGCAAGTCATCCAGAGCTATGTGGCCTCTGCCCCCCTTTTCTGCCTCACCCGCCCCATCCTCCCGCCTCCAAGGGCTTCTCTCCTTGAGGAGGAGACAGGCCCATTCACCCCTGAACGCCCAGTCCGGACGGACCCAAACTCTGCCCAAAGCCTGGAGGAGAAGTGCATTGTGGGCCTGCACGGGAAGGGCAGCCAGTGCACCCGAGAGCAGGTCCCTAAAGGAACACCTCCCACAGGCACATCCCGGACTCCTGGCGTTCATGACGAGGTCTTCCGAGGGGGCCTCAGTCTTCTCCTCTGTAAAATGGGGACGCTCACACCTGCCTCTCAATGGTCAGAACACAGTCAGAAGTGGCCTCGAATGTAAAGTGCTGGTACAAAACCGTAAGAGAATAGTAATGGCCATTGTCAAGTGCCTCCCAAACGCTGGATGCTGTCTGAGCCACACGTACACACACGCACAATTTTCTTTCACCTTTTTAATAGTTAAAAGGACCCCACAAAGAAGTTGCTACTTTAACCCAGTATTTAAAGATCATGGCGCTCAGGCACCAAGCGGTCAAATAACTTCCTAACGCACATAGCTGGTAAGCATCCCGGCAATGTCTGGAGAACCTAGAACCCAGGCACTGTTGTTCTAGAAGCTTCCACCTTGGCAGGAAGCAGGAGCCGGCTGGCCCGGGCACTTGCAGACGTGGGCTGGAGCGTGAGCTCAGCAGCCGACCCACAGTGCGGCCCGTGAGAGTGCGTCTCCTCGCGCAGGCCTCTGTGCTCTCCCCTGCGTGGGAATGGAGGCCACAGCTTTCTGTGCTAGGATTCAGATTTCATCACCTTCAGAGGAGCAAGCAAGCTCTTTCCCTGACATCGGGACACTTGTCTGCAAAGTGATTGCACTCCAGAAGCCAGAAGGGTCCCCCAAATGCTTCCTGACCAGCACAGGCTGCTCCCCCTTTTATTAGTCGCCTGGGCCGAGCTGAGCAGCGTCCTAAAGTGCCCGGCCTCCCCGTGTGTAACGTGGGGCTGACGACATTGGGACCCGCCCTCCCAGGGCTCAGGGCGGCAGAGGAGTCAGCTCTGTGGTGAGGTCCTAGGCAGGGGGCGCGTGTGAAGCCGGAATGGGGTCCGGAAGAAGCCTAGTGGACCCCATGTTCCATCACAGTTTTCTTTTTGGAGGTGAGGCGAGGTGGGCGCCGGCTCCTGGGGGCCCATGGGACTTCTAAAGGGGTTAAGGCAGGAGAGTAGTGGCTCGGACTTCCATCTGAGGAAGATTCCCCTGGCTGCTGCGGGCCACGGGAGGGACGGGACTCGGCTTGGTCCTCTGGTCTGTCTCCCTCTCTCCTTCCGAACCGCCCTCCTGGAGGCACCAGACCCACTTCCCAGAAAGGAGGCACTGGGTGTCCTGCAGCACCAGGACCAGGGAGGGAGGGAGGCGGCGGGGGGCGGCCGGGGGGCGGGCAGAGGTCAGCCGGAGGCCGCTGCCCTGTGCATGAGGGGGAAGGTGGTGGTGGGCACTGGCGGTGGTGGTGGAATGGGGAGGTGGGTGGATTTATGCAGACTTGGTCCTGGGTTGGCACGGAGACTTGCCCAGAGCCCAAGGGCCCTGGCTGTCCCTGTTCCCTGTAGCCCCAGTCCTGGCCCGCAGCGTGCAGCGTGCAGTGCTGGCTGAATGAGGCCCCCTGGGCCTTGGGCTGAAAGCTGAGCATAATTCCTCCAGTGGGCAGGCGAGGGACCAGGCGAGAACTTGAGCAGTGGGGTGGCTTTCTCCAGGCTCTGGGCGCCCGAGAGCCGGAACATCAATTTCAGGACCTGCCTTTGGTTTATCTAAATGACCACAGTAACCCAGATGTCCCCACAAACCCTCTTTGAGGTCACACCATTTCCCTCATTTCACAGATGCAGAAACAGACTCAGAGAGGTGACGCGCCACAAGGAACCAGCGTGGCCAGTCAGCACACAGGTGTGCTGGGAGCGAGAGCGGGCAGGGCGGCGGAAAGCAGCCCAGACAGCCCAGCCCCGCTTGGCAAAGCCCCAGGCGAGTCGTGCACTTGGCAAGCCCGCTGCCAGGCTCTGGGCAAGCGCTCCTCCTTCCCGCTGATTTCCAAGTCTTTCCACATCCTGGCTCACCTGCTCGTGGGGAAGGAGTGCAGACATTTCGAGATCGATTATTGGCGCTTGGCACACAATCGATTGGCACACTCCGTCTTGTGCGTGGCAGACCACGAGCGCTCTGTAGTCCTAGAGACCTGGGTCCAAACCCCAGCTAAGCTACTTACTCGCTGTGTGGCTTTAGGCACATAGCTTAGCATCTCTGGGCTTTGGGGGTTTTTCCCAACTGGAAAGTGAGCACAACACCTACCTAATGGGGTTGCTGCGAGGGAAAGCCGTGCAAAGGTCTGAGAAGTGTCATAGGGGTGCTCACTGGTGCCGTTTCCTTTCCTCACTGGGCTGAGAACATGCCTCCCAGTGGACAGCTTGGAAACCAGCTGTAAAGGTGACATGAGCTGAGAGGGGTGGGGTTTCAAGGGTCGGGGTTCAGGGGCAGGACATGTGGACGGGAAGGGGGCGCAAACGAGATACCACCCTTGTTACTGAGTCCTGCGTCCTTCCTTGGGTCTCCTGTGGCTTCCCCAGAGGCTGCTTTCCTCTGCCTGAGACACAAGATCAGAGAACCATCAGCCCCCCTCCCCTCGCCTCCCCCGCCCCCCTCCACCCCTCACCCCCCCTGAGGGCAACAGAAATGCCCGTCTCTGCCGCTTCCAGCTCACAGGGCCCCTGTTCTGCTCTTCAAAGACCCTTAAGAAATGGATTGTAAACCACCATGCATTGGGGGAAAGGCTCTGACTAGACGATTCTATCACACAGATATAAAATGACCACTGAGCATCTTTAAAAATCCTTATAACTTAAAAACATAATTTTCAACAAAATATAACTTTTTACCTATCAGATGGCAAAAACGATCGCTGCTGCTGGTGTTGCTAACGCTGGCGGGAGCAGGTCCCAGACTCCCTTGTTGGTTACGTAACCGGCTGCACTGCTCTCAGGGGCTGTTTGACATTGTTTATAAAACGATACGCTTCCCACTGGCAGGCAGTGGCCCCATGGGTATAGTTTTGCAAGTATGCAAAGGCCTTTATGTATTTTAAACATTGGGAACAACGGGAATGTTCCATGAGAGGGAACGGGTTAAATCAACTCGAAAATGAGGCAGGTTTGCGTGGGCCAACGCCCAGACACGGTGCTCAGTTAAAGCGACTTCGTAGAGTACAGTATGGAGGGGCCCATTCAGGGGATTCTTACAATTTATAACAGTTTCAAAAGCCATCGAGGAGGAGACGGTCTGGGCCGTGACCGGCACAGAGCGGGCGACCCCTTTAAAAACCTGACAGGAGCCAAAACCGGTTTGGCTCAGTGGATAGAGCGTCGGCCTGCGGACTGAAGGGTCCCGGGTTCGATTCCGGTCAGGGGCATGTGCCTGGGTTGCGGGCACATCCCCAGTGGGGGATGTGCAGGAGGCGGCTGATCGATGTTTCTCTCTCATCGATGTTTCTAACTCTCTATCCCTCTCCCTTCCTCTCTGTAAAAAATCAATAAAATATATTTAAAAAAAAAAAAAAAAAAAAAAAAAAAACCTGACAGGAAAGAGCAGGATAACTCCTGGTCGGAGGAGCAGACCCCGATCGGAGGCGAGTGACTGAGCGCCCTGAGGTTGAATTCCTCGTGAAAAATGGGACTAATACGATTTTATTTATTTATTTGATCCTCACCCGAGGATATTTTCCCATTGATTTTTAGGGAGAGTGGGAGAGAGAGGGAGAGGCAGAGAGAAACATGGATGTGAGAGAAACACATCCATTGGTTGCCTCCTGCACGAGCCCTGACCAGGGCCCAGGCCGGGAAGGAGCCTGTAACCGAGGTACGTACTCTTGACCGGAATCGAACCCGGGACCCTTTGGTCCACAGGCCGACGCTCTATCCACTGAGCCAGACTGGCTAGGGAATAATAATGATTTTAAAGGAGAGATGCGAGGGTCGGAGAAAATGCCGCAGGGTGAGTCAGGAGAATGAGCCGGGCCCTCGGCGTGCCTGGCACAGAGTAGGTGCTCAGCCCCGGCCTTTGTCTGCCCGGCTCTGAAATTCTCTTCCTGCCGCAGCGGTGGCCGGAGGTGCCGCTCCGTCTGTTTTTGGCCGTGCACGTTCAGCTCATGAAAATACAGCCCTGCTCCTTGTTAGCTCTTCTGCACTTTTATTTATGCTCCTGCCAATCCGGGGCTCGCCACGTGGGACCCTCTTCATTATTGATAATCCCGGGAAGCAGTATTTAAATTTTTATGATCTGTACTTTGCGCCATCTGAACCGCCATGTATTATGTGGCCTGGCCAGCGGAGGGGGTCCATCCAGATGAGGGTCCTCCCGGGATGAATAATTTATCCGGTTTTCACAATGCCGTCCCTTCACCATGATGGTAAATGATGTTCTCCGTGCCCGCCGCCCACGGGACAAGGGGACTGATACAGAAATAGGAGAAGGAAACACATTTATTTCTTTGCCCAGACCCACAATGATATTTGGAAAATCTGGAGGTTCATTTTTTCCAAATATCTCTAAAACCACCCCTTTGAGTACTAAGGCGAGTAGAGAGAATTTCTCCTGCGCTCTCTCCACTTTTGCCCCATTCCTGTTATTATTCAAGGAGCTCGGGGCTCTGTTTTGCTCCATTTTTTCCCACTGCTGAGAATAGAGCCTTTCTTCGCACATTGCGTTTCCTCTTCTCTTTCTCTGCTTATGCAAGCTGATTCCTCCAAGGTCCAATTAATAATGACTGGCTAGCATTTCAATGCTTTCCCTTCTTGGCATTAAAAAAAAGTGGGTGTTACCGCATCTCTTCGACAGAAGGGGGTTTCTGCTCTTCTCCCTGAGAACCGCGCAGCGAGCCGCAGGCCACGCCTCGCAGCGGTGGGTTCTGGTACCTTCATTGGGCTGGACTTGCCTGCTTCCTCATCTCCCCGGTGTTCGCTCCTCTCCCTGGATGCACATCTACAGCCCTTCCCTGCTCTGCACCCCTCAGCTCCTCACCGCCCTCCAGTTCAGCTCCAGGGCTTGGCCCGCCGTCCTGAGCTCTGCCGCCCTCACACGCCTGCCCGGGGCTCTGGCCACTCGGAACCACCTGCTTGTAGTTTCCCGGGCGCCGCCTCCAGTCTCTGAGTGTGTGCTGCTGCGTGCTGCCCACTCGGCGTTGAAAGCTCATGTCCCTGGGTTTGGGGAGGCAGGAAGGGAAATGAGGGAGCTGGCAGGGCCAACGTTCCTGGAGGGATGATGACGCTCTGAACAGGGTGGCAGAGGTGTGACTGCATAAATAGGTCGACTTGGGAGACATCTCTGAGGAAGCAGGAGCTGGCGATGGAATGGATTTGGGATGAAGGGAAGGCAAGGGTCATGGGAGACTCCTGGATATGTTTTGACATACATGATGGTGTGGCTAATGCTGCTACTTCCTGAGCTGGGGATGACCTGGGGAAGAAAATGTCGAGGGGCATTGAGCCGATCCAAGGGCCGATGTCCGGTGGGTCATCTGAGTGCTGGGTGAGGCCCTGGGGTGCTGTGCAGTGAGACCTATGAGGGTGCAGGCGGACTTGGAAGAGATGGAGTGTGAGCACTAAGAGGAGAGAGGGAGAGACATCGATCGGCTGCCTCCTGCGCGCCCCTGACTGTGGATTGAGCCTGCAACCGGGGCATGTGCCCTGATGGGAATTGAGTCAGTGACCTCTTGGTTCATAGGTCAGCACTCAGCCACTGAGCCACACCAGCTGGGCTGGGAGGAGCTTTTGATTGAAGATAGAAATGGTGCTGGAGAAGCAACCACAAATGTTTATTATGACAATTAGAACGATACTGCCTGTAGTGATTATTCATTGTCTCATTCCAATAGTAGTATATTTTTAGTTCTGTCTCCTGTTTCAACATGTCGGCTACAGCATTGGGCCTTTTAAGCTTAGGTGGAACAATGAAAACGGTTTTGAGCTTGTTGAGAAGCTTTGGGACAGATGTTTCTAAGAGAGGAAGAGGGAAGGACTAGGACACAGATGCTTGGTAGCGTCTGCTGTGATGTGCCGGCACTTGGCCTGTCTGCTGGCTAAGGATCTAGGAAGGAAGGGATCAAGCCAGGCGATCACTGAGATGGAATTGGCAACGTGGGAAACTGTATTCATTTTATTTTTTAAAATATATTTTTATTGATTTCAGAGAGGAAGGGAGAAGGGGAGAGAGAGAGAAACATCAATGATGACAGGGAATCACTGATTGGCTGCCTCCTGCACATCCCCCACTAGGGATCGAGCTCACAACCCAGGCATGTGCCCTTGACCGGAACCGAACCCAGGACCCTTCAGTCCCCAGTCTGACACACTCTATCCACTGAGCCAAACCAGCTAGGGCCTGTATTCATTTTCTATTGCTGTGTAACAAAATACCAAAAATTAAGTGGCCTGAAACAACACAAATGTATTATCTCACAGTTTCTGTAGGTCAGAAGTCCAGGCACCGACGCTGGGTTCTCTGCTCAGGGTCTCTTGGGTCTGAAACCAAGGTGTCAGGTGGGCTGCATTCTTACCTGGCACCTGGAGCCTCTCCAAGCCTGTTCAGGTTGTTGGCAGAATGCAGATACTTGTGGTTGCAGGACTGAAGTTCCCATGATCTTGAATGACCCATTGTTAGCTGAGCTCACTTTCAACTTCTAGAGGCTGCCCTCAGGTACTAGCGCATGTCCCACTCACAACATGCCAGCTTCCTCCTTCAAGGCCAGTCTGCTATGGTGAGTCGTGTATGTCATAACGTCATTAGAGGAGTGACTATCACATACACAGGTCCCACCCACACTTTTGAGGGAAGATATTATACAGTACATGCACACTGGGTGGGGGTGGGACCTGGAGGCCCATCTTAGAATGCTGCCTACCATAAGCTGCCCAGGCTTTGGCTCACAGGCACCCTGACTGGTTAAAGAGGGGTTATGTTATGATTATTGTCCGGATTTCACGGGTGAGGCCCTGAGGCCCAGGCAGCTTTTGCGTTCCCTGTAGCGCTGTGGCTCTCTGCATAGTCACAGGTCATCTGTCAGGCTTCGTTCTCCTCCACTCTGCCTGCACAGTGGGACAGCGTTCCCTCCGTACATGTCTACGCAGGTTGCAAAATATTCAGACTTTAAGAAAACAACATAGATCTAATAGACCTTTATGTTTTTGTTTGTGGAAGTCCCTAAATCAATTCAGAATTAATATGTGTGCCAGGGTTTAGCTGCAGGATGTTCACCATAGCTTGTTTGTATAACCCAAACTGTGGAAGCAATCTGAATGTTCAGCGATAGAGATTCTGTGCATACACTGAATATTATGCTACATTAAAAGGCAAAATATATTTGTCTACGTGGACTATGTTAGTGTAGTGTTGTGTGGTAAAAGCAGGTTATAATTCATAGAGTGCAAAGCCATCATAAAAAGGACCTATGTATTTGCCTAAATAGCAAGTATGCATAACAGCTGCATCTGTATGCATGTAAAACATCTGGAAAGGTGTGACCAAATCGTTGGCCATGGTGGTCTCTGCTGGAACGGGGAAGTGTGATGGGTAATTTGAATTTTCGGTTTCCTTGCGTGTGCGTGAGAGGGAGGCTGTCTGTTTGCTGCTCTTACGCACAGTGCCGTGATCCTAGCGAAGAGAGGAGAGGGAGGGTGTGGTGTGTTTGCAGTCTCCATGCGTGTTAACTCCGCTTGCACATTCCAGGTGATCGTGAAGACAAGAACGGAGTACCAGCCCGAACAGAAGAACAAAGGGAAGTTCCGGGTGCCGAAGATCGCCGAGTTTACGGTCAGTGTCTTGATGGTGTAGAGAGAGATAAAGGTAAGGCGGCTCCGGCGGCTCCGGCGGCTCAGAGCCCGCGCGAGTGCAGCAGGTCCTCCTGGAGACAGGAAGCGACAGGCTATTTCTGGACCATTTCTTGGGGCCACGCTGTCTGGGTCACCGAGTCTAATCAAACAACAGAAGCGCTGCCTCTTGAGGGTGGCTCACGCTCTCTCCTGCCCCGGAATGTTTGGATAATTTGGTAACTGATAAGTGTGTCTCCTTTCTTCTCTTTCCTCCTGTCCCCATCTCCCTGCCTGCCTGGCGCAAATCCAGGAAATGTATAAGGAAACGCAGGTTTTACTCAGTAGACGGTTGCAACAGAATCCAATAAAAACAAAGGGAAAGAAAAGCTGACTTTCCAGTGGAAAAAGAAGATGGTTGCCTTTCTGTTTCCTGGTGGAGGGGTCACGAGGAAAAGTGACCAACCTGTGTCATGGGGACGGGTTGCGTGGAGGAGCCGAGAAGCCTGCTCTGTGGAAGGAGGAGCCCCGGGAAGTTTTCTGGACTTTAGTGGCGAGGCGAGCTCGGCTTGTGCAAAGGCCCTGAGGCTGGAGAGAGTCTGGCCCCAACACTGAATCAGGAAAGGGGCAGTGAGGCTGGGCTCTAGGAGGGGCACAGGGAGCAGGTAGAGATGAGGCAGGAGGAGTGGGCAGAGGGCTGACAGTCCCAGGTCTAGCTCACGTATGGAGAGTTTGGGTTTAATGCTAGAAGCCCCTGAAAGATTTTAAACAGGAGTGAGACATGATTGAATTTGGGTTTTGACCAAAGCACTGGCTTTTATGTGGTTGATGGGCTTAGAGGGCAAGAAGGACTGTGGGGAGACTCAGGCTACTGCAAGGGTCCAAGTAAAAATCAACAGTGGCTCAGATAAGGATGGTAAGTGGATAGAGAGACGTGGGAAGACCTAACGAGAATGAGGAGGCAGTCAGCCACAGAGGCAGCAGGACAGGTGGTCCTGGGGGTGGACAGTGGAGCGGTCTGGCTGGGCTTGAGCCGTGTGGCCCCAAGCAGGGCGTAGCCTCCGTTACCAAATGGAGACAATAGGATTGCTGTGAGGATGACGCAGAGTACACGCAAAGCACTTGGCTCCGTGCATGGCAAGCGCACAGCTAACAGTAACTGTTTGTGTCAACGGGGACTGGGGCCTTCGATAGGCAAACAGCGCTGGGCAAGTTGTCTGGGAACTGGCGGGTGAACATGGATAAACATACTGGTCTGTTTCTGGTCCTCTCTGTCCTTGTGCCAGATCCGTGTTCCTGCAGCCGGTGCGCGAGCTGGAGGGATGTGGCATCTCCCCGAACCCCCTCTTTGAGAGCAGGGGGCTCTTATTGCTGGCTGCAGCTGCAGTGTCTGGCACACAGCCGGGGCCCAGGGAAGGCGGACTCGGCCTGAACCGCGGGCAGGTGCAGGCAGGGACCAGCAGGTAGCTGGCGGGGGAGGGGGGGGGGAGTATGGGGTGTCATACACACGCACCAGGCCTTGGAGAGAAGCCGACCTGTCTCCTGGCGGCAGGGGGCTTCAGAAATATGGGCAGAGTCACGTGGAAGACCGTGTTGGGACAGCTCGATCACCAATAGCTCTCTCTCCATCCTGTGCATAGGACCACACCCGTAGGATGGACTATTTTAACAATTTCCTAAGAATCACCTTTTTTAGAGGAGTTTATGATTAATCACAGGCTTATGAGGTATTTTCCTTATCTTATTATTTCCCTGTGCTTTCCACATTTCATATGAGCACATACTACTTCAATAATAATAAAAATTAGAGTGGTTTTTTAAAATTTGCTCTTTTTATCAAATAGTGTTACAAGTTCTTTTTAAAAAAATCTTTATTGTTGAAAGTATGACATAGGCCCTCCTTCTCCCCATGAACCTCTTCCATCCGCTCTCCCCCGCCCCCCAGGCCCTCACCACCCTATTATCTAAAACTACTTCTCATCCAGCAGTCATTTGAAATGGTGGTTGTGAAGACGTAATAATTCACACAAATACTCCACAGAGAAGATGGTGTGGAGAAGGCAGAGATCACAGTGTGTGTTCCCTGGGAGGAGCTCTGAAAAAACGCCAGCGGGCGGAGGAGAGGACAGGAGAGAAAGGAGTCAGATTGGACTCCGGCGGCTGTGCGGGGGGGGGGGGGGGGGGGGGGGGGGGGGGAGCGGGGGGGGGCGGGGGCGCGGCGCAGACCCTGGTTTTGTTTTCTCTTTGGCCACTTTGATGATGTGGCTCTTTTATCAACTGAGAGAAAAGGAGTGTCTGGGTCGGTCCGGGCCTACCCAAGCCATCCACGTAGCCTGACTCGGTCAGTCCTGGGGGTCAGGAGGAAGCATGGGTTGGGGACAGCCCTGTCAGGTGTGGGCGCGGGGCCCTGCCACTTGGAACAGAGTGGGAGGAATGAGCCACTCTGAGGCTCTGCTTTCCTAAGGAGGGCGCCTGGGCCTGCGGGGGGGCCTCTGCTGGGAGGTAGGTGCGGGGGACTGAGGAGGAGGCTGGGTGGTGACTACCAGGGTGTGAGGGCTGAGCTGGCCCCGCAGCGGGGCTCGGTCAGGGTGGGCTGAGATGGAGGTGGGCCTGACAGGTGTGTTCCTGGTTGGAGGAGGAGAGGCGGGGACTTGCCTGACTGGGGGAGGCCACCCACTGAAGTGGGAGCTGGGGGGGACACATTGAGTGTGAGGCGCCTGGGGGATAGAAGGAGGGTGGTGGTCGAACCTCCCTTGCATGTAACTGGTCTGGAGCTCAGATGGAGACCGGGTGGAGACCCTGGGCTGGAAGTCAGGTGTTCATTGTCTCAGAGAGCAGGACGCTGATACCCCGCGGGCCACCCTCCAGCATACTGCTCAGGCAGCGGTAACCATGGGACAGCAGAGACACATCTGCCCCGCGTTTCAGTACCTGCGCAGAGGTGCAAGAGCTATGACTGCACACCTCAAAACTGCCCCGGAGAGCAGCTCCCAGCACTTACCCCGAGGGAGAGGATGCGAGAGAGAGCAGGGCAGGGAGACACGGTGAGGAAGATCGGCTGCAAGAGTCGCCTGGTACTGTCTTTTCTAAAACCTAGCAGGCTCTCGCAGTCATTGCAGAGGCTTGTTGAGGAGATGGGGGCCTGAGAAGAAGCCCCTCCTTCTTTCTTACTCCTGGGAGCTGGGTGCTTCGAAAGCTGATTTTGCAATGGGAGGGGCCGGGGCCACAGGAGAGGCTGGTGCTTCAGGAATCCTTCACCGCCAGGCAAACCCCACTCATCCCTCAACACCCAAGTCAGGGGCTCCTGGCTTGTGTGGTCTTGCCCGCCGCCCATGCGCAGTCTGTCCTTCCTCCTGGGGGCCCCGATTCCTGCTCTATGACTCCATTCTAGCACCAGTCACAGTGGTGGCCCCATGGAGTGACCTGCCATGTCTCCCACTGACTTGAGCTGGGACGGTGTCTTCTTCATCTTTGCACCCCGAGAGCCTTGCCAGTCCCTGGCCACCAGGCACCGAACGCCGTGTTAGTAACTGAGCACACAGGGGCATGAGCCAACAGAACAGGCCCCGGGCTGATGGGGACCGCACGCTGACACACAGAGCTGGCTGCCTGGACCCAGGATCTTTATTTAAAATCGGGGCCTCGCTTTGCTTCTTGCCCGCGACACATTTTTATCAACGTCTCTGCCTCATGCCACTCCTAGGGAGGTGAGACCCCATTTTCAGCTTGACCGTTTGCTTCTCCTAATTTTTCATCCAAGCGCCAGGGGCCGCCTTCCGTGGCTCAGGATTCTAATATTTGCTGACAGCAGCAAATGGAGATAAGCTATTTTACTTTATTATCTGCTGCCTTGGTTTTTATTGCTCTCCTATTTTTTTATTTTATTTTGAGGAGCATTTTAGGTAAGTTATTAAAAACAATGCCTGCTGGGTGAGGAGAGAGTGTTACCTGGCGGGGAAGCATTTGCATGTGGGGGTGGGGAAGGGGCGGGGGGGGGGGGCGGGGGGGGGGGCGGCGGTGTGCAGGCCGCCCTCTGGCGAGGGTTTTATTGAACATCAGGAGGAAGATGCTGGTCTGTGTTTGTGCTGGTGCTTCCTCCGGCCGATGCAACTGTGCTGCTACAGTGACCTTCAAAAATCTCTGTTGCCATTGACATTGAAAAGCAGGTGTGGCCTAATTGATTTTCTCTTTAACAAACCCTGTGTGGCTCTGCGTCAGGAGGAACATGCCGGGGGCTGGCAGGAGGGACTGGCTGACGGGTGACCACGCGGGGCCAGGGACTGGCTGCTCCCAGGGCCAGCTTCTCCTCCTCCTGGACTCAGACCGGGCTGAGTAAGGGCCGTGATGGAGAACGCCACTCGTTAACACATGCAGTGCAGACGGGGACTGGAGAGCTTAGTGAGTATTCTTGCCCCAGGCGCTCCTGCAGGGGAGGGCTCCCCAGGGCCAATTAGTATGTTTGAAGACCAGTTGTTGACAACTATGGTAGGAGTATTTACACCACGGAAATGGGCAAATCCTACAAACCATACCCCTCCCCTCCCCCCACCCTCAGGAGCTGCTTCCCACACTCATTGTGAGAGGGGCAGCATGGCAGCAGGGAACATGGATTGGGGTTGGACACTGTGGGGCTGTGTGACTAAAGCAAGCCACGTTGCCTCTCTGTTCCCGTCTGTAGGATGGATAATGACGCCCACGCCAAAGGCCTGATGGGAGGACTGAGTGAGAGAACATAAGCTAAACTAAACTGGCAAGTGGTTGCTGGAATGCTAACAGTTTGCTGCCTCTCTGCTATTTGAAAAGCATTAGGCTAATTTTCATTTGGCTCTTTTTGCTTCTCTCTTCTCTTTAAATATACTTTTGGCCGAGCCCTGACATGCATTGAGCCCAAAGAAAATACAAAAGCAAAGACTTCCCAAGGGAGAAATGCCGTTTTCCTCTGACCTGTCACGTGGCCTGCCTCCAGGCTCTTCACACAGTGAAAGGGTCAACCGCCCGCCTTTC